AGTGTCCCTTTCTCTCCGTCTCTCTATCTGCACTGGAATGCGAAGTGGCTGAAGTGGTGAAGTAGCTGTACCACACCTAAGTGAAAAAAAAAAAAGGGGGGGGGGGTTAGTTTGGTTGTCATAGTGAAACTGCTTTCCTTTCTTTGCGTTTATAGTTTTTAACATCCTGTGCGCATTAAATGGTGACAAAAAAGCGGCTAAAGATATGAGATATTGATATATGTAAAGCTTGACTTTCGTAATGAGAGCTGGATGGCGTTCATTATTTGTGCCCGTGCAGATTAATGTGTCGTCTAAGAAATAACATGGTGAGAGGGCAGTCTACATTGCATCATGATGCGTTTTGCGCAGAAATATATAGTTCTGAATTGACCGCACAATTTCTGTATAAACCACTGGTACGTGGTAACGCTTCGAACTGAGTAGTATTGAAAATAAGGCAAGTTAGTAACGATTCATTTTTTAAGGTAAACAGAGCGAAAAACGCAGACAGAGAAGTAGGAAGACACAGGACAGTAGAAACACAGTTGAAAGTCAGCGCTTGTCCTGTGTGTTCCTATTTCTCTGTCTTCGTTTTTCGCACTGTTTACCTTAAAAAACAAAAAAAAAACGCTTCAAACTGTTTTCCAGGTAAAGAACCTTCTCTCCTGCCATGAAAGTAGGTGGTTGAAGTCACAAGCAACATTTCTTTTTTACTAAGCCATCAATCACACTTGCTGTGTTTAACATCGAGAATCGTTCGTGACATGAACCTGTATTAAGCAGATCCCTCGCTTTGCTTAGTGTACGTGATGTTTCACAGATGGATGCGTGTTTTATTGAGGCCACCTACATAATGATAGAGGCAAGCAGCCCATAAGGAAACTGAGCGCGCAGTAGATTTCTCTTGTTTTTATCGCAGTATATCTTTTTTTTCCTGCTGCATTATTGAGCTTTCTCACAGCGCTCTCATAAAACAATCGCATATTTTTTTTCGGAATTCATTCCCTCGGCCTTCTTCATAGTCCGCCTCGGTGAATCAGTAACTAGAGTGCTCAATTGATTGATATGCGGGGTTTAACGTCCCAAGACCATCATGTGATTACGAGAGACAATATGACCACATGATTATGAGTTCGTGTAGTTGCCCACGTTATGCAACTACACGAACTCATGAATGCATAGCGCAGTGGGGTCGTGTGGAAATCCTGGGACGTACGTGCCCGAATCACTTTGTCTAATGATGTTTTACTTTCTCATCCTCGTTTGCTTGTTTCTTTTTTTTTTTGCATTAGCGATCGTGATTTTTCCGTTGACATACTAGTGTGTCCACACCCATTTTCTCTCCTCATTCTTTCTTTTTTTTTCCCTTCGTAAACGTTAGACAACCAACTCACCTAGAGCCCAAACCGACAAGCTTCAATATCGAATTGTCAGTTAAGTCCGAACCTTCGAATTGTTGGTTACTTCCGATTGGCTGTAAGCTGTTTTTTTTTTGTCCAGTTTAACTGTTTTACATGTAGTCATAATTACGACATTACAGGTAAATAACACAAACAAAAAATATTTCCTGTACTCCTTTACGCTTGATCGTTACTCGTCTAACAGTGTAAGAATAATAACATCTGGGGTCATACGTCCCAAAACCACGATATGATTATGAGAGACGGCGTAGCGGAGGGCTCCGTGAATTTCGACCATGTGGTGTTCTTTAACGTGTGCTCACATCGCACAGCACACGAGCTTCTACTATTTCGCCTCCATCGAAATGCGACTGTCACGGCCGGGATCGAACTCGTGACCTTCGGACCAACAGCCGAGCACCTTAGCCAATGCACCACCGCGGCGGACTGGTCTAACAGTGAATAAACGACAAAACATTGGCTGTGTTTTAGGGGCGAAGCACCTCAATGTGGCACCCGTTCGTCCCTCGTAGTAGTCGTAGTGTGTAACCAGTCTTACGTTTTGACCTGCAAGGTGGTGCCGGTGGGAGATCTTGCCTGTGCGTCGTTGAACCATACGAAATTCGCAGCGTGCGCGTTATCTATATAAAAGCCAAATTCTCCAGTTTCTCATTCCTCATTAGCAGCCATTGGCATGAACATTGAGCACTATCTGACAAGAAATGGTTGCTACGTTATACTCGCTGGGCGTAACCTCCTTTGTTTTAGAAAGGTTTAGCGAGCGTTGAGCCGCAGTGCCATGAATACAGTGAACTAGTATGTACCATGAACTCGAGGTGGTTAAAGGTGGGAAGTAGACACGAAGCGCAAGCCGTAAGAAAGTGTGCGTGTACCACCTCTCGTTTAGTCCTTGGAATATCCGCTCGATGGCGGTGCTTCTATATGCGGAATATATGATGAAAAGATGCGAGATGGTGGTATTTGGAGTGTTGACTAGATGGACGAACGGACGCACAGACAAATGCATGGGCGGACGCACGGATGGCTGCACGAACGGATGGACGCATGGACGAGCGCAGGGGCAGATGCATGGAAGAACGCATGGATGGACGCACGGATGGACTTGCGGACGCACGAACAGACACACGCGCGGAGGGGTGGATGGACGCATGGACAACGCATCCGCCCCAATGCATTCGTCTGGTCTCACAGACGAATGCGTTGATGGACGGAAGCAAGAACGAATGGACGGACGGGTGCTTCGCCCCACTCTCCATCATTCACCCTGTGGATATTCTGCCATTTTTTGTGATCGCTTTCTGTTAGAACGTGACATTCATCGCACTGCATTGGCGCATGGCAGACCAGCAAAGCGACGCAAGCATTGGTACTTAAAGGTCGACCGGGCTTAGCGATTTTCTTTAGTAGTGTAATGAATGGTCAACACTTCCTAATAGCATCCTGTTCCTCCTTTCTTTCTTTTAATCCATTTCAATCAGTGTAGGGTAGCAACCCTGACGCGCGTCTGGCTGAACTTACTGGCTTTCTTCTCTCTCTGTCTATACTGGATTCATTAGGTTGCGTTAACACAAAAACGAACCCTTGATTCCTACCCCTTTCTTCGTGCTTTCTAAACCTACAGCCCACCGTCATTGGAGTACACTGGGCTCGTGCCCCTCCACCTCCCCCCGAAACTTTTTCTTGGCATGGCATACATGGCGAAAAATTGCCATTTCGGGGGGCGCCCTTCCTCCCACCCCCTCCGAAAAAAAAACAATTCTGCCTATGCCCCTCTCCACATTAGTGATTATGGTTAGAAAAAGCAAGCGTGGCGCTACGAATAAGCAGTCCCATAAGGGAGAGACTCCGCGCTAAGGTGCTCTCTTGAATGAAAGTCGACTCCCTCACCCGCGCGCGCGCTCACTACAAGCCCACGCTCTAAGCCCACGTGCCGGCGCTGTCGCGAGAGTAGAACCACGTGCGCGCATGCAGGACAGGACGCCGCCGCCCCGCGCTTGCGCAGTCACACGCCGGCTCCGAGCAGCGGGAGCAGCGGATCATCTCACCCTGCCGAAGTCAGTCGCGCGGTGGCATCGGAGGAGGCGCGTGGCAGCCGGTTCTGCTCTCCCGTCCGAGGCAGCCGGGACGACTCGAGAGGTGACTTCGAGGGGGGCGGACCTCGAGTCCCGTTTCGCGAACTGTCGGACGAGTAGTCGTAGTGGTGCGTCAGTCGACTACGAAATCGGTTTGCGCATCGTTTAAAGCTCTCGAATCGTCGCGCATCGTGTTGTTTAGCAGCGTGGCATGCGATCGTCGGTGACTGCGATTGCTGAGTGTGATTGCTTACTGTGATTGCTGACTGCGATTGCTGACTGCCTCCCTGTTATCGGCGCTGCGTGACGAGGGTCGTTGGCTGTACCTGAGGTACGTCAGAGGTGTGTGAACTTATGATAACCTGTAGCTGGGCTGTAGTTGATAGTTCATCTCGGTAAGTTGGCTTCGAAGCGTGACAAAAAAAAAACAAAAAAACTAACGTTTCCTTATAAGTGTTAAAAGAAGGGGCATCCACTTCCAGATTGTCTGAAAGCGTACGTGTGAGTGTATTCCACTGGTGTTCTGAAGGCAACTTAACAAGTGTGTGGATCATGTGTTTGATCGAACCATTTCGCCGAGACTGTAATATCTGGGTTTCGGCTATCTGCCTTTCATCGTGCGTTTGAAAATTAGGTTGTCCTCGTTCACGCCATTTTTCAAGGATTGTTCCGCCGTTCTGTTATGAATTGTTCCGCAATGTTGTAGGAATGGGTAGGGCTAGAGGTTTAGGAAGCTGAGCTATCGCCGATTTAGTAGCAGGGTCAGTTGTTGATTGCTGAATCATCTTTTAATAATGACATTACCCTACCGCTTGAGCTTCGTTGTACTGATTGAAACGATGCATGCAGGTAGAAAGCGCAGGATCAGGAAGTAGTAGTGATGGTGAAAATTGGCTGAAGGATCTCATGTCAGCCGTGGCAATATACTTCGTATATCACAATTCTGCAAAATAACTTCTCTTAATATCTGAACGACCAAGTAAGTCTGCGAAAAATACTTAGTTCATTATCAATGTATTAGGGTTTGTTTCTGCTTTACAGATAATTTACTATATGCATGTGACAGCTTTAGAGGGGGGCTAAAACCTGTGGTGACATGTTTTCAAGGCCTTTCATTCATCTTGTATCAATTACATCATGACCGTCACGTTCAGCAAGAAAAGAAAGGGTTACTTCCCCGGATGTTTTCTCAGAACGGACTAGACTGCACCTAACTAATCTGCTAACGCGCTAGTTCACCACATTACCGGATTTCTTTCACTTTCGCGAATTAAATGTAGCTGCGCTAATTCAATTAGTTTGGTGGTCTTTAGAACGTAGCACTCATATAAAGTCTTCCTGCGGTCTCCGTTTTACACGCATGCAATAAGGCGCCCGTTTACAGCATTCTTGCACGTAGTGCGAAAAATTCGGCTTAGTGCGACGCTGTACTTGTTGATATCTAGGTGGTTCCTCTAGTACAGAATGTACACTGACGAAATGTGAAGTGCGCCTTTTCACGCAATCCATTTTTTCAGGCTCCGGATTACTCCGCGAAGCAAGGTTGACTCGGTGGCTGCTGTTAGTTCCCACAATCGCAACCAAGTTCTTCTATATCTTCCTGCAATGGAGCCTACGAGACGACAGCATCAATGTGACGCATTACGCACCAGCACGCGCCAATCCGTACAGAGACAGGCACCACCTATCGCGATGCCCAATCGGCATACACCAGAAAGCGGCGTGGTCGCGTCTCCATCCCGGTGCTCGTCATACGCGTTACACTGTCGTAAAGGGTCTCCAAGAACGACAGGATGTCACCGGTCATTGAACTTTTTCGCGGAGTCTGTGCTATAATCTCCGCAAGTCCTGTCGGTAAGCAATCAAACCGGTGAAGCGTAAAAGTGATCGGACAGTCATGGCGACGGAAACGGGATCCCCGACTCCCGTCGCTTCTTCGTCGGGCCTGAGGGCAGCGACCAGTGCACCGACCGTGTTGGCACCGTCGGACGAGATTCAGGAAGACGCCGGCGAAGACCTCGCGGAAGACGCGACGAGCCCTGTAGCGCCGGGTCGTCAACTGCACCAGCAGCGGAGGCAACAGTTCAGAGCGAAGCAAGAGCAAGGCAGATTTGACAGCTTCGGACGTCCCGAGAGACCGCCGTCCCGGTCCGACACGCAGCGACCGCTCAGCAGCGCCGAGCAACGCATCGCGGCAGCTATCCGACAACACTACTACCCGGAGGGCGGCTGGGGCTGGGTGGTGTGCGTCTGCGTGTGTCTCGTCAACGCCCTCAGCTGGGGCATGCAGCTCAACTACGGAGTCATGCACGCCGCGGCCGTCCGGCAGTTCGGCGAGGAGCACGAGTACGAAGCCCGTGAGTGTGATCAACAGTGCACGTGTTAGAGCGAGCGTAAAAATGAGCGCGAGCCCCACGCGGGTCTGATTAAACTTCGGCCTTATGGCCTGGCGGCATTGTTTCGAGGTGTTTATTGTACGCGAGGTGAGGTGAAGTGGAATTGAAAGATTCAGTGCTTTCTAAAGAAGGGACCGCTTGCGACCAGCAATGCATTAGATGGGACAGTGGTGACGCAGTCTCACGTTACGCATGTCCGTGATTTTACAAATTGTCTGATGTGTCTAGAAAATAACAAGATGATAGAATATTTAGGTACATAACGGAAGATAAGGCTCACCAGATGAAAGAGATAGGACGTCTCAAGTTCGACGCACTCAAAGAGGACAAATTTGTCTGCGCACCGTACTCATGCGGGCAGACTTTTATCACTTTTTTTCTCGTTTTTTCTTGTGAACATCGTTGTTACCTATGGTTTGTGTCATGGAAGAGACGTGCAACAGAACCAATTAGATTATTCTAATAAATTAAACAAACCTAACATAAATTGAAGTTAGCCAGTAATTTTAAACTATGATACGACGAAGTCCTTTAGTTAAACGAAAGAACTTCCAGCCTATGTGGGGACCCTCTTATTGTTGTTTTATTGAAACGTACTTCACGTACATTCCGGTATGCGTGTTAATAATTTTGATTGTTGTGGTTGTATGCCTCAAAACGATTATATGGTCATGAGGGACGCCGTAGTGGAGGGCTCTGAAACTTGCGCCATCTGGTGTAAGTGACTTTTAAAAGAGAGGAAAGAAGATAAAAGAGAGTGCCGTAACTGTCTGCGTCATATAGTGCCACACCTCAACAGTGGCTCACGAGGGATGGGGGTAAGGAGAGATTAAAAGGTATAGCAATAGAGATAGGGACAGGGACAGAAAGACCCCCATACGGAAATAAGGAGGAAATAGGAAAGGTGGACACGGTCGCAGCAGTTCGAGGACAGGGAACCACTCAGTGTGGTGTTCTTTAACGTGCACCTAATTTTATAGGTACACGCGCCTCTATTGTTTCGATTCTATCAAAACGCGGCCGTGATCTGGTCCCGCTTCCTTCGGGTGAGCAGTCGAGCGCTGTAACCCCCCTGACCACGACGGTGGGGCATCATATGTATTGCCACTTCAAAAATAAATAATGATGATCACATGCACTATATCATTATTGGGAACTGTATGGTTTGGTTCTGCCACGAAGTCAGTCACTGTCGCACTATTTCTTTCACATTTTCTACAAGTGTTGCAGCGATGAGATTATGGCCATGAACAGGCGGGATCATAATCAGCGATCGTGCCTAGACTAAGTGAACAGCGCTCAACCTGAACGAATTAATACAGTTAGAATGACACTTCACCAGCTTCGCCTACGTTCGGCCGAAGTGATGGTGCCAAAGTTCCATTTGACTTCCACCGTTTAAATTACGTCAGGCTACACACACGTTGAAGTTCTCTTGGTGGAGTGGAACCCTCTGCAACACTGCGTGGCTGCCTCTGGATCATAGATAATTTCGAGATTACGCTGCTGATTAGATTGATGACAATGAAGCACAAAATCGGCGGGGAATACGACAGCCCGTGCGCCTACACGTAAAATAGGACAAGTGCTCTGCACGTGAAATAGGACAAAATTGCCAGGAACTGTTTAATAATCTGCTTTTATACTGGATACTTGCCATTTCCGGAATGTGTGGGGCCGGTCTTAGACACCATGCGCGTCTTGCTGAACATCGCTAAACGCCGTGTCGTAGCCTTGCATTGGGCGAGAAAGAATTCGGCGCCTTGACATACCAAGACCAAGATATTGGCTCGGGGCTCTATGTAATGAAGAAACATGGCGTGAAAGTCGCTTTTGGTGAGTATCCTGGTGCCGAATTTATACGGGAGTATTGACCTTTCAACCTATTTCGACGTTTTTTTTTTTTTAATATCTCAAGACCTTGTCGAAACGCATCCTACTCAAGCATGCCACTCGTATTGAAACTCCCCGGCTCTGATGATGAGCAAGCTGATCTTCAACTCCATCTTTATCTGGCGGTGCATTCCTGAACACCGAAGGTATTTTAAACCCGTGTTGAAACGGGCAGCGCTACATAATCTATAGTGAAAGAGCTCAAAGGTGTCAAATGAGAGTCGTGAATGTGGAGTGATGCTTAAGCCTGTATACTATGGGAAAAACGCGGGCAGTGATATGCCCGTCTGTGTGTAGGCTTTAACGTGACAAGAAATCCTGCAAACGAACTGTCAATTGACATTTTATTGGCTATACATGTACATTTGCTTTTTAGCGCCACTCTTAGGCGCCCGTTTCTGCGTTGAGTGACGTTGCCGTTGCCCTCAGTTGCGTAACCAGTATACATAAAAAACTAACTGGTAAAGATGAAATAAAAAAGAAAACATACCAAGGATCAAATAGGATTTGAACCTCGGCCCTCAGCGTGGCGTTTGGGTGTTCGACATCAGAACGACGCTGGTGCTTGCAACTTGTTTGGAAGAAGACTATAGGTATACAGGTGTCATGTCGGGCGAGAAATCACGTTGCACAAGCGTAGAAAACAACCTGTCATCACTAAATGCTAACTATGCAACAAGTGAGTAGTTTGACGCTTCCCACCTACTGCAAACCGCTCAGAGAAAATTCATCGCCATCAGCCACATATGGCATCAGCAAAGTGCAAGCAGTAGCTTGAGAGACATAGAGCATTTGTTTCACTCATCCTCACAAAGACGAGTAATAGCGTAATGGGCGCCGTCCCACTTCACAAAAATTACGAGTTATGGCGTAGACGACAGCTTGCGGAAAGTACAAACTTCAAACACAGTTGGCCTTGCCCTGACACGAAGCTGCGCTCAGATTTCACATTAGGTTATACCGCAATTATCGGTGAATTTCGTAGCAGCCCCCCCCCCCCTTTTTTTTTTGCTTGCGTGTGCTTGTGTATGTTTGTGTAAGGCAGATGTTGTAGAAAAGGAATATTCGAGGCGATATGAACCTCAACCTCTCCACAGCCGGCCACTTGGAATCCAACAGAGAAACGTATACTGTCGAAACGGAGCGAATGTTTCAGGTTACGTCAGTTTCTGCTCGGAGTGGCTTGGCGCGCAAGCTGTTTCAATGCTAGAATCTGACATTCCCAATGGCTTAGCGATTAAGACTTGTCGGATTGTCGCTCGTCGGATGATGACTGTAGCCATGGCCACGCATGGGTTGCGCAACGATACCGATGATTAAATAACGCCGACTGATAGCGTTTTCGTGGCTATACTCGAGGGCTTTCAAAGCATGCTACAATATGTATACGTCAGATTTTTTTTTCTCTGAATATGCTGGCTGGTACTTTGGCCCAAAGACGGTGTCCGTAATCCTTGTCGATAAATTGGTCTTTGCGAGCACTTTTTTTTTTTCCTTTGGTTTCTGGCCAAGGCATTGAATATTAAATTTTGTTTCTCTGCGGCACTTCAAAACAAATGAACAGCATTTAAAGATGTGCTTTCATGCATGCCGCTTTGACCTTTCTTCAGTCACTCTTTCATGATGCATGCGGGCAGTGCGCATTCGAACATTGTCTTATTGAAAAGCCAGGAAGCTTGGTTGTTGGACAGAAGGAAAGCTTTGAGCCTCCGTAAAAGAAACTAAAAAAACTAACAAAAACTTGTTCGAGTGCGTTAGTCCTTGCGGCCATGATTGTTCACATAATTGCACCGTTAAAGCAGTTGTCAGTATGAAGGCTTTATAGTTTTCCCGAACACGTCGTGGTAAAGATGGGCTTTCTTTGCTTACCTGCAGCTGCTAGCCTGTCGGTAACATTAGAATTAAAACAACATTACACCCGAAGTTAGATCTTCTACGGCGGCCTTGTCTAGAAAGGACTCGCACCCTGGTACGCAATATGACCAGAAATAAATTTAGACGGGAAACAACACAAGTGTGGCGAAATTAGGAAAAAGATGGTTCGGAGCAACGGCAGGCGATGACATGGATGCATCGGATTGTGCGAAAAACTTCAGCAAGCTTTAGTAAAGAAGATAAAAAGGTCACTAATTACAAAGGCATGAAATGAAAAAAAGAGGTACCTTTATTTAGTAATTTTCACCGCAGGTGAACTCTGTTACGATACATAATGCAGTATTGTTTTTACTCAAAGTCGATTGTGACATGCCACATATAATTGTGAATTCTGCTCTGCGCATAAACAAGGGGAAAAAAGCATCAAAAAATGTTTTGTCGGAAACCTCGAGATACAAAATGGCTTCTGTGTTTTAAATATTGCTTCAATTAAAAAAAGAATTGCTAGGAACGAAGCCTTACAATGCGCCTGTTAGTAAAATGTCTGTAAAAGGCTCCTACGAGCTTGCAGCGTAACAAAGGGTGACACATTCGAGCAATTCAAGTAATGCTCAGTGATTCATTCGCCCGCAATTACAACGTTGGTCTTGATGGAGTATATTCTTGCTTTTTCCACATCAACGAAGCAGACAAAACTGTATGCTGCGCATGAAAGACGTTCTCTTTATTTTCTATGTTGGTCCAAAGCGGGCCGACGTTCAAAGCAGGCTCGCCATAACAATCAGCTGTCGAAATCGTTTTTTGCGTCGGTATCCCAAGCGTCTGTTTCCTTTGTCTGCAGACCTCAAATTTTGAGGCAGTGTCCCTGCGTCGGACGCGGAAGACGACTGGTCCATTGTTACTTTACTCATAGCTATGTTCTAACTGAAAAAAAAGATATCAGATGATGTTAACTACTTCTGGCTCCGGGCCATCATTCTTTTTTATCTTTACTTCCCAATCTCACGTTCTGGTTTATTAACATTCACGTTCTTGTATTTGCTATATCTTCCCACAGCTCCTCTAACTCCCCCCCGATCACTTTCACACACACACACACACACACACACACACACACACACACACACACACACACACACACACACACACACACACACACACACACACACACGCACACGCACA